GGGGGGGGGGGGGGGAAGGAGGTGGGTGGCAGGGATGGGATGGAAAACAACAACCAAGTGCTGGAAGCAGCTCCAGCCTTTCAAACAGGTTTGGGGACATCCAACAAACAGTGCCCCTTGGATGGGCAGTGCAGGAGCCAGCTCCCAACTCACCCCAGGGTAGAAGGGTTCTTTTTGGTCTGTCACAGCTGAGCCTGACCTGTACCCCAGGAGGAGGTAGATTTTCAGCTGGGCCTGCTGGACTTAACCACACCCAAGAGAGCAGACCCAGCTCTTCTCCAGCAGCAGGCTTTGAGTGCTGAACCTAGATCACCCCAGTGAGTGGTGGAAAGGACAGTCTCTTTGCTATGCTGTGACTCTCAGACTGAGCAACGCTAGGGAATGTTACCTGGGGCACCGTGTAGGGTGATGGATTCATGAACTCAGTCAGGTCCATCATACATTCACGCTCATCCTGGGAGACATGAATAGACTGGATTGGGGGGAAGCGAGGATAGGCATCCCGGAAATCCTTCAGCTTCAGCCTCCGCTGAACCAGGCTCAGGTTGGCTCTTTCCACAAAGACCTGGAAAAGGGAGACTCCATTATGTAAGACCTAGGAAAGGAAGCTGTTGGCTTCCTTGACTCAGCTGGTGGAACCCTGCCCTGGAGATCAGCCACCTCCCAGCCCAACAGATCATTTTCTGCACGCTAGGGCTCCCATCTCAAATACCAACTGGAGCATCCAAGAGCCCAGAAACCTGGCCAGGGACAGCTGTTTCAGTCTGGAGTATACATGAGAGCAGCCACTCAGACTGGGGGCTGGAAAACCTAACGGTGCAAACAAGGGTCCATTTCACCCGAGAACAGTACACAGGATCAGGTCATTACCAGCTGTCCTAACTCTGGGCTCTTCTGACTGCAAGTGACTTGCAAACACAATGATTCTATGGTGACGCTCTTGACAGGGAGGCAGGCAGGGAAGACAGCAAAGGGCAAGGATCTGCCCCAGCTCAGTAGCAGCATGGGGCAGGGCCTAGTTCATTGGGCTCATACAGTCATCTCCTGGGGAGTGGGGTCAGTACACCATACTCATATGCCAGGCTGATCTTTGGGCTGCAGCTCAGGAGGAGCTACCCTTTGCCACCAGCATGAACAGCAGACTCTAGGCAGCAGTGAAACCAGCTCTCTCACCACATGCAGGGGTGAGGTGGGAAACAGCAGTGGCCACTGCAGAGCCTACCTCTACTGTCAGCTGCAAGAACTGCCTGTGCCACAGCCACATACCCCATCCTCGCTGGCCATCTTACTGTAGGTGGGGCACCCTGTTCAGTGCCTGCCAGAAGCTGGACAATCCAGCAGCACTCTCCCCAGAGGACGGGCTAAGAGTGGTAAAGAGCCACATGCCTTCCAAGTCCTACCTTGTGCTTCAGAAGAACGATCAGCTGTGAGCGCAGGATAAGGCCTCTCAGTCCAGCCACCTGTAACAGAGGACTCTATGGGTGATGCCATGCCTGCCAGGTGGGCTGCCACAGAACTTCCCTCCAGGACAGAGCTCAGCCACAGCCAGCCAGACAGTAGGGCTGTGCAAAATGGCACTGTTCTGTTTTGACTTCAGTTTTGAGGTATGGACAGAACAGTGTTTTGCTTCAAATTTCATTTCAAGTTGAAACAGCTGTTCATTTTGCTGTGTCAAAACAGTGAGGCTGTTTCCAGCTTCACCCAACCATCAGGCTGGAGAAACTAACTGAGCCCAGCTGGGCTGACTTCCCATCCCCAGCCCGATCGTAGGGCTGGGGAAGGGAACTGAGCAATTGGGCTCAGTTCCTTTCCCCAGCCTGATCACAACACTTGGGAGGGGAACTGAGCCCAGGTTCAGTTCCCTTCCCCTGTACTGTGATCGGCTTCCTGCAGCCCAGCAGCAGGAGATGGGGAGAGCCAGGACTGCGCTCCTGGCTGCTGGTGGGAGCGCAGCCCTAGTTCTCCCGTCTCCCACCACCTTGCTGCTGGCTGCTTTGAAACTCAAAATGTTTCAACACTTCTGAAACGTTTTGACTAGCCTCATTTTGTTTCAAAGCCCTTTGTTTCAATTCTATTTCGCTGTTTCGAGCTTGAAATGAGTTGAAACAGTGTCGAATCGAAACAGCCGGCGAAATTTCGCACAGCCCTACCAGACAGCGACTAGGGAGGCCCCTAGTGCTCCTTTCCTAGTGATGCCCAGTAGTGCAGTGTCTGGTGGGGGCATGCCTGAGCCCCTTCATAGAAGTGCTGGATGAAGTGGTAGCAGAGGCTGGGGCTGGGTACTGAGAGATGGGGCAGGCACAGTCACTTGGGAGGGGAAGCTCCCAAGACCACACCTGCACTATTCGTGTGCATGATCCCAACCACTCAGTCGCACTGATGTGCTTGGGTCTGAACCCACCACATGAGAGGATGGCTCCATGTAAAGAACATGCAAGGGCACTTTAGCAAGGAGAAAGGCATTCTTGGTATCAGAGACATACCAGGCCAGGGCACCCTTGCATACTATAGGTATTGCAGTCACATATGGCTGTCTCACTGCCATACCCACAGCTCTTCTAGTGCCAGCATGAGCATGGAGGAGTGCTGTGCAACCACCATACCCACCCTGAGCCCAGCTAATAAAGCCCAGGGCAGCAATACCCTCCACCACAAATGGCAGCAGCACTGCTGGAGCTGCAGGGCACAGATGTCACCAGCTAGCACTGGGCCTAGGAGCACCACGTCCACCAGATCTACCCCTGCTCACAGCAGATAATCCCAGGGCTTGATGCCAGGCACACACACAGTGCTCCATGCAAGACAAGCTCTGCCACATCAGCATGCATATGTATGAGAATGTCTACTCCTAATGCACAAGGGGAAAAAGGAGACTCCCAGCAACCATCAGTCCAAGCTGGCTAGAGCACAGACCCAGCAACCGATCTAAATGCTGGGCCCAATTTAAGTGATTTAGGTTGCATTTCTGGAGTCCAGGGCCCTGAATCCCCAGTCTGTGATGGCGCACTACTGTCCACACCACCTAAGGCCTGATCTCTGGAATCAGTGTGACCTACCTGCATGGTGTCTGTTTCATTCTCTACCACAGGGAAGCCATTGTGATTGGAAGATGCATCACTGAGGATGTCCACGATGGTTCCCACCTTCTCCTTCCTTCTAAGACAGGTAACAGGTGTGCTCATCACCTCCCTGCAGCGAAAGGCAAGGCCAGGTAAGAACAATGCCCCGAGGCTGGGGTCCAGTGGGCTGCAGCCAGGGTTCACCCTGGCAGATGCTCCCACAGACTTCCTATCTCATTCCCTTGCTAGGAGGAGCTTGCAGGCTCTTTGCACCCTTAGGCATGTCTCTCAGGTCTCTTGCCAGACAGCCAGTCTGGAAGACCATTCATAGAGCCATTAGCCAGAAGCAGAAAGAACATTGATTCAGAATGTTACCTGGTGTCACTGACACACAAGAGGGCTCTCAAGGGGGTCTGTGCAGCACCAGTTGCCACTGGTGACAGACCTTGCTATTAGCACAGCAAGTTCAGATCCCTACCATGCTGCCAGAGCACACTTTTATGCTAACCATGAAGTTAAGAGCACAAGAAGGCTGCTTTGCTGTCAGACAGCAGGGGGCACCCTTCCCCTACGGTTCTGAGCACCAGGCAGTGCTCATCGCATCAGTCTTACAGTTGTCATGTTCTATAGACAGTGGGGCTCTCTCTTTCCTCAGCGGCTTTGGCAGGTTCTTCAAACAGGAACCTCCTAAGTCACTGTACCTGTGAGATGGTCCAGTGACCAGGCAGGCAGCCCTGCAGCCTGCATGCTACCCACCAGAGGCACCTGCCCCTGCTGCTGGTGGTCTGTGTCCAGTCCTCCCTGGAGAGGGAGAAGCAGGAGGGCAGTGCTCTCCTTACAGCCAATCCAGCCCCCTGTATGGGTCACCTGTGACCTAGTCATATGAGCACACAGCATTGCCTAAAGTCCAGACATCCATCAGGCCATTCCAGAACTTGCAGCCTGGGTCAGGGGCACTGCTAGCCTAGAAATGAGGGTCCTTTCACCCACTGCCACTCTCCAGACCCACCAGCTTCCACCACTCTTTCTAGTAATACAACTCAGAGCACAATGGAATATCTTGGTTTCGGGAAATGCTGCTGATCAGAGACAGTGTATGTGGGGAGGGGTGGCCAGGCCCATGGGTATGTCTCTCCCTCCAGCACCCCCACAGCCACCAGCCAGGCAGTGCTGGCATTCAGGCACACTGGATGCCTGCAGGACATTCCCCTAGTGGGGAAGCATTAGGAAGCTGATGCTTGCAGCTGCCAGGATGAGGCTGGATCTCATTCATGCAGCCTGCAGGTGCCACGGTCTGACTGCTAAGGCACACAGTGAGTGGGCAGGGGGTATTCCAAGGAACACAGCTGGGCCAAGGCAGGGCATTTACCTGGCTGTGAGGGAATGAGAAGTGACTGGAGCTTCCCAGTGCAGGAAAGGAACGCTCTGCAGCTGGATGTGCATGTCATATAGACCCTGTGGGGAGACAAAGCCATCAGGAGAGGCCTGGGTTACGCGGAACAGGCGTAGCACATAAAGACTGGAAGTTTCCCCCACAATGCACGGCTTGGGCCCCAGCATTAGGTTTTCCACAGAGCTCTGCTCATGCCCCTCACTCCCAGATCATATCCCTTCCCTACTTCCTGCTAGCTGAGCCCTGGGCTCCCCACACAGCTTCTTGGCTTAAGAGACCTGGAAACAACTGAAGCTGATTACTGAGTCTTTAATTTTGTTCCACTGAGGAATGTGGAAGCTGGCACCACCATTACCCACTGCCCAGATGGTTGCCACAGTCAAGCTCTGCGCTGGAGGTGCACTGAGCCAGGCCCAGCAGCCTGTCTATGCTCAGTGCAGCAGTACAACCCCACGCTCATGTATGACCAGAGAGTAAGTTCCAGCTGCTTCACAGGGCTCCTGCCTCTTGTTACTGCCTCTTCCCCACTCTTGACCTAGCACATAGCCGCTCACCTCCACAAAGAAGTCCCCAACAATTTTAGCTGTCATCAGCACCAGCATGATGGGAAAGCCATAGGTGACATTGCTTGTTGCTTCCATCATGATGACCGTCAGGCTCAGTGTCATCCTCACTATCCCACCTAAGGGGGAGAGACATGATTCCTAGTCAGGGAGGGGGCTTTAGGGAAGGAGTGGAGGAAGTGCAGGGGCACCCAGGGACCTTGGGCCATGTGGCTTGTTGCCCATCACTGCTGAGAATACATGGACACCTGCACTGAGGCTTGGAACAGAGACTGGCAGCCACTGGATGAATTAGCAGGTTCTGAAGGAACCAGATGCCTCCAGGGAGTTGAGAGGATGCCTGGATGCTGCATCTCAGTGGTATTTACAGGCAGACTGAGACAGTGACTTGCCCAAGGTCACACGGAGAGTCTTTGGCAGAGGTATGTACTGAGCTCTCATCTCCCAATTCTCAATCAAGTGCCTGCCTAAATAGAAAGTGCCTGTCTGCCTGCCTGCCCAAACACTGCTAAGCTGGGAAGGCCTTGTTAGGAGGGCAGGACACTTCTTGGCAGGGCTCAGGCAGTAGCCAGCATGCCTACAGTCTAGCACAGTCTGTCAGGTCCCATCAAGAACTCCTTCAGGGCCTATGCAGACAGCTCTGCTTTTGGAGTTCATCTCTGCATGGGGAACTCTCCCACTTTTGAGGACACAGCAGCCAGTACTGATGCTGACAGACTGAAGGATATAGCACCAACCTGCAGGGTACTCTGTTGGAGGCAATAGGAGCTGCATGTGCGCACTTAGAGGCTCCCAGCTAGTACTGGGCCAGCATGTGAGGCATTTTCAAAAAGTGAATGGAGCCTTCCCTGCATCTGCAGCCTGAAGACTGCACCCACAGGCTACACAAATGGCTGTATTCCAGTAAGCTCATTACAATGCCTGAGCACCAGTACCCCTAGGAATGCCCTCGCATCCCACCTCTACATGCAGAGAGCAAAAGGAGAATACTTCCTTCTTGGCCACTGTAATTTAGTTCCCATGCCACAACCCAAACCAGATGCAGGATGGTCTAGGCATGCAAATCTCCTTTTCAATTAAAAGGGAGGCATTATCTATGGTAAGTCCACTGCCAACGCCTGCCTGAATCAAGCAGAAGTTTTGATTCTAGGGCTAGTTTTTCAGTCAGATTCTTCCTAGTGGAGAGACACCGAGAAACAGGCGAGAATCCTGGGATGGAACAAGGCCTTTGTGTCATAAGATTTCCTAATAGAAAGTCCAACTCACCCAGTTGTGCTGCAGCTCCCATCAGAGCGTATTTTCCAGGGTCAGCCCAGATCTGGACAGACAGAAGATACAGAAGTGAAATGGAGAGGCAGCCAGAATGAAGAGGCAGCCAGCTAGCCTGGCTGACAATGCTTGTCCTGCAGAGGCAACTTACTACATAAGCCAAAACTGCAGAGTGACAAAGCCTTCTGATGACACAGCATAGCTCATGCCCAGATGCATGAGCCCAGGGAGAGGGCCACACTGGCCAACTGGGAGGAAGACTAGGGTTTGCTCATGAGTTGCTGCTGCTGACTGAGGTAGGAAAGGAAGTCACCAAGCAAAACCCTGCTCTACCTTTCTAGCTTGAGAAGCTGCAGTATTGAATCCTATCATTGTTTTGCTCATTCAGTTGACTGAAAGCCAACCATGACACCCAGAGCACTGACAGACATGCAGCTCCTTGGAACAGCTGCCTGTCTGCAGCCACTCTCCCCTAGTTCTGCAACCCCACTTCCCTCCCATGTCCAGTGCCATCTTCAGAATGGGAGGGGGGAAGGGAAGGGAGGGAAGCTCAGTGTCTTGGAGGGGGGCTCCAATCCACCCACCCAACCCTCCAACACAGGCTGGGCAAATCTCAGACGGAACTCCCCCCGCTTCCTTTTTCCCCTCCCATTTTGAAGACAAAACCAGAGGCTGGGCTGGGTTGGGCTGTATCAGCCTAGCTCTGCTCCCGGCATATACTGATAGAAGTTAATGAAGGTGTTCTGCTTTGGAGCATCTTCATCTGAACCCTCATGTAATGTAATGTAATGTAATTGTAGGAGTTTTTACCTTCCTCTGTAATATGGCCATACCCCTGGGTATTGGCCTCTTCCTTAAATCTCTTGGTGGGCCTAATAGTTGTGCCAGAAAGTTGTTTGTGAAGTTTTTAAGAATAGGTTAGAGAAACACTTGTCTAGGATGATTTGATAGGGATCCTGCCTTAGGCAGAGGGTTGGACTAGATGACCTCATGAGGTCCCTTCCAGCCCTATTTTTCTGTAATTCTGTCTGCATCCCCCAGTCCTCTCCTAAGCCTCAGAGCTCCTGGCTCTGCCAGGCCATAGGGAGCTCACCAAGAGAACTTGGGACTGTACTGTCAGGGAAGAGGGCTTCCTGCAAGTTTCTCGATCCTCCATTTCTGAAGGCTTCCTTCTCCTGGCACATCAGAGCTCCTACCTTGAGCAAGCAAACAGGGACACTCACCGATCCAGTCAAGTAGGACAATGAAATGCCAAAGAGCCTCCCCCACGCAGCACCAATCAGCAAAGATGGGATGAAGACTCCTGCAGACACCGTGAGACCATAGGTCCAGCAGGCCAGAAAGAAATACATCAGCGTGAACATCCCTAGGGTCATGGGGTTGTAAGTGCCTGCAGAGAAAGGAGGCCATGTCAGTGCATGTTGCCTCTTCTGCCCCTTGAGCTCACATACTTCTATGGATCAAATTCTGGCAGTGTCAAAGGGCAAATGTCAGCTCAGTCAGGGCAAATCACATCAATGCCACTGCCTGGATGCAATAAGGAGATGCTGGTCGAGCAAGCTAATTCCATCTGCACATGAGCACCAGCACTCAAGGTACTGAAGCCCCAAGCAGACAGAAGCATCTCCCAGGCATCTCAGGATGGGGATTTGTCCCCCATCTCAAGCCCTTCATCTGCCATCCAGCATATCAGCACCAGCCTGATTGCTTTCCAGGCCAATGCCCCTCTGTGTGCAGCTAAGGCAGTTAGAGGAACAATGCATGGAAAGTCGCAAAGAAGAATCGCTATTTCCTAATAGAAAGGCAAAGAACTGATCATCCCTCAGCTGAATGTTACCGGCAGAGGGGTAGCACAGTGTGGGAGACATTACAAAATAACCGTTCCCTGGCCCCAGGTTTGCAGGGGCCTCTTGGTAGACAGCTTCAGAAAGATGATGGTGATAATGTTAAATAATAAAACCCTGGAGGGCCTTTCCCACTACACAGTGGCCCTACCTCCTACTGCTGGAGTCCACTAAGCAGAACTGCTGGTGTTTCGTAGCAGTGAGGTCCATAGATGAATTATGCGTTACAGGAAAAGCACTCTCCTCCCATCAGTATTAAGCCTGTTGCCTTTCAGTCCTGTCAAGTCCCCCCAGGCTTGCATTCCAAGGGATGGTGAAGATTGAACACACACCCTCCTTCCCTTCTCCCACCCCCTATAGGCACCTCAGCAGTCTCTCAGTCCACTCCTGTCTCAACTAACCTGAAGTTCTGTGTCTCCTGCTGCAAACTATTGCACTTCTTCCCTCATTTCATTAAACTCCAGTTCTAGTGCAGACCTCAAATCTCCTGCTGCTAAGCTTTTACCATGATTCTACCTAACCAGTTAATCTGCTGCTTTGTTTCTCCAGAATAATCCTTTGCCTCGTGTTTCATGAGGATTTTGTTTCCTTACCAGACACCTGTAAAGGATTTGTCAAACACTTTGGAAAGCCCAGATTAGCTGTGCCAACCAGTCCTTTCTATGCTACTGGGACAGTTGAGGAATTCTAATAACTTAGGTGCAGTTTTTCTCAGGAGAAGCTGGTCTGGTTAGACCATCATCCCACACTCCTCTAGAGCTCCATTTCATTTTTAAATCCTGTACCAAGTTCAGTGCAGGAAAGCTCCCTGCAATAATTACTATGAACAGCCCTTCTGTCTTTTGAAATTAAATGGAAGGAGTTTTGATAGTTACAATGAAGCTGCCCCACTGTGTGAGGACTTGCATAAAATGGAGGCCCTTGTTGCAGGGCCTGAAATGCAGCCCTTTCCCTAAACATAACCCCCACCAGCACTCTCCTGCCATACAATACTAGGCAATAACCATATTTAGTATTGCCAGGTAACTTAGCATCCTAGTTTGACCACTTTTATCATCTTTACTGATAAATATGCCTGTCCAGCCTCTTGTTGAAAACTTCCAGTGAAGGGGATTCCACAACTGAGGACTCTGACCTACAATATAGAGCTGGAAGAGTGGTCAGGGACCACACAAGTTTGGTTAAAGATAAAGCAGGTTCCCTGGGTACCATGGGTTTTCTCTATATACCAAAGTCACTGCTACTTAGTGTGGCCAAAGCTGTAGTTGCCATCAAGTGTCTACAATTTGGATTCTGTATCAAAAGGCTTGCTGTGAAATTTAATTGGCTGCTCCAGGAGCGGTAGAGGTAGAGGTGTCATTTAGAGTAAAAGACAGGACTCTTTGGGGCACTGGAAATTAAATCCTATTTCACAGACAATGTAAAGAGTGAAATTCACATCCAGAAGGTAAATTCATTTATGAGCAAGAAACCCAGGTAATCAATCAAGTAGCAGCCAAGAATTGCAGCTTTTAGAGGGAATGTGTAAAACAGATCAGAAAGACTGAAGAATGGAGAAGGCTTTGCTACTCTGTCACCAGAAGGTCTCTGTGGACTATTGCCACTTCCCAAAGTTTTCATCAGCATCAGAATTTCCTCCCCTTTGAGCACAGGGGGTATAATACTAACCTTAGACAAAGCAGGGGTGGAGGGGAGGGGGGCAGAAATTTTCAAGGATGCCGTAGTAAGAGAAGAACTTGTGGATAAAATGTAGTGCAGTGGTTCTCAACCTTTTTAGACTCAAGGCATCCCCTCCATGACTTTTGTGAGTTAAGTGGCACCCAATTTCAAAAACAAACGTATATAGTATAGTGCTTACCCTCCTTGGAGAGGGGCAGGGCAGTGGGGGTGTAGCAGGGTTGTTCAGACAGGGACAAGCATTAGCCTGCATTTATCTTCATTGCTTATCTGCTTATCTACTCACACCTCAAAGCACCCTTCAAAGGATCTGGCAGTACCCCAGGGTGCCCTGGTACTCTGGCTGAGAATCACTGATCTAGAGGAGGCGAAAGCTTCATGTCATTGGCTCCTGCTGCACATAAGACTTTGATCACTCAAACTCAACCTACTCATGTCTGCCTAGGGCCTATGCCGTTTTTTTACAAGCAAAGAATCAGAGGGTTGGAAGGGACCTCAAGGGTCATTTAGTCAGAGATACAAGATAAGCTGTTGTTAAACCACCCCAGACAGATGCCTGTCCAGCCTCTTGTTGAAAACTTCCAGTGAAGGGGATTCCACAACTTCCTTGGGCATTTTGTTCTGCTGTCCTATAGTTTGGAGAGTTGGGACATTTTTACTGTGATTTAATCTGAAACTGCTTTGCAGCAGCCTAAACCCATTGTTTCAAGTCCTGCCCTCTGCAGCAAAGGAGAAGAGTTGTTCTTTCTCCTCTTTATGGCTGCCTTTCCAAAGTTTAAAAACTGCTTTCATTTCCTATCCTCCAATCTCCTTTTCACTGAACTAACTGTATGTTTCCTCATATAATAAAGCGATGGGAGTGCAAGTTATCTCTGTCAATCACCTCTGGATCCTCTCCAGTTTCTCTACATCCTTCTTAAACTTAAAAGTTACAGTAACCCAGAATGATGCACCATAGCACTGGTTAGGCCTCAGCTAAACTAAATGGAAAGGTGTTATCTCCCATGTTTTACATGCTATACTCCTGTTAATGCAACCCAAAACAGGATTTGCTTTTTCAGCAATTATGTCACGCTGCTTGCTCACCAAAGGTCTTTCTCTGCAACTCTACTGCTTAGCCAACCATCTCCCATTATGTTTTGGTTTTCCCTCCTTAAGTTTAGCCTCTTACATTTGCCTTTGGAGAACTGCACACAAGATAACAGAATGAAATTCAATGATCTGCTGGGATCCTTTTGAATTTTCCTCCTATCTTCACAAGTTTTTTAAACCCCTCCCACGCATGCCATCTACAAACTTGATCAAGCAGGAAGAGCAAGCTTCCTCCAACTCATTAACAAAAATGTTAAACAGCACCTAACCCAGAGCAGATTCCTGTGAACCCCAATTGAAATAGGTCATTGATTTGTCTCCAAAACATAGAAGACCCATCCCAAGTTACAGAATTTTACAAGCAAGTAAAGCAAGAACAATGCAGAAAGTTCTGATGTTTTGACAAGGAGTCAGTGGAGACTGGCTACTGCACCAAGTAACAACTTGGGGACAAAGAATTTTGTAAAAGGCTTATGATGACACTCTCTATTTTCAACTTCTAAAGCTTTGCGGAGAGGGATGGAAGGAGAGAAACCGCTACAATGAGCAAGACTTAGAAGATTAACACATACCCTGCCCCCTACAGATTTCAGTGGGCACTGTTCTGGCCAGAACTGCCCTCATCAGCACCTGGCACAGCATGGTCTTCACTGTGTATAAATGATGGACAACATGTCTGGCAGGAGGCCTTGCTCTTTTCCAAAAAGGATGGAGGCCTTTTCCGGAACTCTTACTGACTTGCACTCAGCCCACAGAGCAGGGAGCATCAGGGAAAGGGGGTGGTATACTGTGCCCCACAAGGGAGAGCTGCTACTGCTACCAAAGCAAGGAAAGCAACCAGTGCCCCTCTCCAATTTTGCTCATGTTGTTCCACCGATAACTCAGGTCCCATTACATAAGCAGTAACAAACCCGGAGGATCATGAAAGAGGCTGACGACACTTTTCTCTGGTGTGTTGAAGAAGGCAGTGGCCATCGAGTTATACTCGCCATCGGCACAGAAGAGCTGGGGGAAGAAAGAAAATGAATGAGTGTTTCTTTTAGAGCTGGGAAAGCCCACACAATAATCCTAGTACAGAAAAGCCTCCAGAGCACTAGAATTTGTGCAGAGGCAGCATGGGAAAGGGTAGAAACCTATAAGGCAGTTATAACCAGGGATCCTGGTTTTCCCCAATACAAAATCACAAATTCTCTGGTAAAAAACCCAAAATCCGTAACTAAAATTAAAAGTCCCCCACGGACATGGCGGGGGGGAGGTGCAAGGGTAGTGGTGCCCCTCTGCAGACCACACAAGTGCTGCCCAGCTGGAGGAGGGTGGGGCTCACATGCAGCAGCCACCACTGCACTGGGTGTCCCTCTGTGGGCCACACACACCTGCCTGGCTGTGGGGGGAGAGGCTCACATGTGGCAGCCAGCACCGCAGCACATACCGTGTAGCTTTCCCACCGCCGGCTGTGGGCAAACAGTGCAAGGTGTGGCAGCAGCCGCCACATGCGAGCCACCCCTCTCCCTGGCCGGGTGGGTGTGCGGCCTGCAGAGGGACATCACTGCCCTCGCCCCCCGGGCCCTGCTCCTGCAAGCGGGCAAAGAGTGAGCTGAGCTGGGGGGGGCTGGCAGCACCCCTCCGCCACCGTGCCCTGGGATGCACTCTGTTCCCCTCCCCCTCTCCCTACCTGCTCTGGCTGAGGGAGCAGATGGTGTTGGGGAAATTCCTACCAGGAGTGTCTGCTGGCTGGCAGGCACTCCATGTCTTCCTCCAACACCTCCTTGCTCCCTCAGCCCCCAGCCAGCTTCCCCGCCAGCCCTGGCCCACAACCCTCAAGCCTCACTTACCTCCAGGAACGAAGAGTGATCCTGAGGCAGCCTTTGGCATCGGGTCCTGCCCTTTCCCCCTCTCCTTTCCCCTCCAGGCAGGGTTGGGGGTTTCCTGCCCCTTTTGCAAACAGCTCTTGCAAGCTAGAATTCAGCCAGCCTGTAGAGCTCTTTGCAAAAGGGGGAAATCTGCAGATTTCCCTGCTAAAAATGAAAATCCACGGTTTTCTCTGATTAAACCAGGAAATCCATGGTTTTCTCTGTTTTTCCGTGGGAAATGGAAAACTCAGATCCCTGGTTATAACCCTGCTCACAAACACAGCCTTAATTCAGCCCTACTGCACATTCAGGTATGTTGCTAAAATCCTGCGTTACTGCAACTAGAGACCCATTGACCTGCCAGTTGCCATGCTTCATAATCTGCACCCAAGATTAGAAAGGTGGTACTGGTGACCTCTCCTTTGCCATTCCCCAATTTCCAAGCTCTTGACTTGGATGCTGTGAGTTCTATTAACAGAGTATGAATGAAATGATCTGCTTTTCTGCATTAATCCCAGAAGTCCTTGGTTGGACCCCTACTGAACACTGCACTCAGCAAAACACAAACCCCAGGAGAGCCTTGCCTCATTCAGCATACACTTTAGTGCCTGCCCGCAGGCCTACCAGTGAGAAGGGACTGGCTACAATGGAAACACAGAAGCTCCCAGTATCAGGTTTGAAGCCAGTTCCTCTAGAACAGGGGTTGGCAACCTTTTTGCTACCAGAGGACAATGCTTGCTACCCAGCCCCCACCACAGGCTGCAAATCTCTGCAGCTAGAAATCAGCAGATGCTGCATAGGGAATATGGAACAAGGTAAGTGGTAGGAACTGAGGCACAATGCCTGTGCTGCCCTCATAGCAGCAAATGACAAAGTGAATTGTAGACAGTAGGACCCAGGGGAGGTCTCCTCTGCTGCTCTGGCTAAAGCCTGCTACAAATTCCCCAAGCTAGGGCAGCTGGATCCAGTCTCTTCATGGTCCTGATCCAGCCCACAGGCCTTAGGCTGCTGATCCTTCCTCTAGGACAGTGGTTTTCAATTGAGTGACTGCCCTGGCCCACCTTGTACACAGCTAGATAAACCTAATGCATCCACTTTTGCCACAGCCCTTCCCAGTCTGCTCCTGCACACTCCTCCCAGAAACAGAGGCTCGCAGGAAGTTCCAACTACCCTGTGCATCTCCATTTCCAGGAGGTGCCAGGGTGGTGAGACCACGAAGGGCTGCAGCAAGAGCAGATGCTCTTGCCTACATTAGGTTTACCCGGCTGTGCACAAGGTGCAGACAGCAGTTCCACCTGACAGCATCGGTGGCACCACTTGGTTGAGAACTACTGCAATAAGGAGAGGCAGGACAGCAGTGATTCTCAGCTGGGGATGCTGTCAAATTAAAGAAAGTTCTGGAAGGGTGCCTGGAATCTAAGAAGGTTGAGAACCACTGTTCTAGGACCAGATACACATCTCTGCCTTGTTGGCTACCCATTCAAAAAATTACCCTCACCTCTCTGTACTCTGGACCCCACCCCTGCCTTTCTAGGCTCCAACTTCAGTTACCACTTCTCCTTAGGAGCAGGAAAGTTATTAAGACCACCATGCCCTGGCCTGATCCCAAGAAGCCCTGGGATCACCTTGCCAAGCTGTGTAACACAGTATTCAGAGGTGTTTCTGAACAGAAGCCATCCCCACCGTTGGGGCCATGTTACAGCCTAATCTCCTACCTGAAGGGGATAGGCCACAGCATTTCCTTGGAGGGGCTGGCAGTCCCTGGAGCAGTAAATCATCACAAATCCCACAGCTGCTGTCACTGCTGCCACCAACATGGCCTCAACCACTTGCAGGCATGGGCGGTGGATGTACCTGGGAAGAACAACACATGCCAACTGAACACAGAGCACTGCCTTTTGCCACCCAGGGACCAACTGGCAGGAGTCCAAGGGCCAAGCAGCCCACCAATTCTGTCCACAGCTCTCTTCTGATACATCAGCATTTTTTGTACCCGTCACAGCACTAATCTGAGCCAAGGTGCTGCCATCTAATTCTTCCAGCGAAATCACTGGCTGTACCCAGGCACATGCTGTACTACAGACACTACAAGCAGAGGCAACCACAGAGGAAGCGTTTCAAGGTGCAGTCAGCCACATTTGCAATGGATCAATATAAAAGGGGCTGTAGGTACGAGGCTGGGGAATTGTTGTCTCCTTCTCATACAGCTTAGCTTCATCACTGTCCCAGAGGCACCACATGGGGCTGCACTGCAAACAAGAACCTTGGATATGTGAATTAGATGCCAGCCTGCACTGGTGCCTCAGCCCCAGAGCCCTTAGCAGACTTTACGTAATGTCACTGGGTACAGCAACACATGCATAGTTATGTAAGAGATATGTTCATAGAGGGGAGGTAGGAAATGGACACACCGCACCAACCTGATAGACGCAGTCTTCTTCCCTTTCCCAGACACATTGCAGAAGCCACTATGGATCCCACTGCTAGACTGAACCCTGGTGACAATGTCCTGAGCATATGCAAGTACAAGGATATGCTGGAAACTGCTGTGTGGGGCCAAAGGATGGGAGAACAGAAGCAAGCTTTATATGTAGTTACTCTGGGCTGTCCTCACATCTCTGAAGTAGGCCTCTCCCATCAACTGTTCTCACAAGGAGTCAGAGGAGGACCACCGAAGGTTTCAGGTGAAATGGGGCGGGGGTTGCCTGCCTTTCCTTGAAGAGAACTGCCATGGTTGTTTATCTGACTGGACAAACATTTCAAACTGCAAATACCTACTGTTAACCCAGAGCAGCCACTTTTTGGAAGGACCCCATCTTTTGACAGGATATTCTTGAACTCCCTAATGCTGCCACAGAAGGCTGACGAGACACTTCCTCAGTTCTGTTCCTGTAAGTGATTCCTCCCTAAGGGAGACCTTTTGGGATGCAACTAGGGCCTTAAGAGTCCAGCAGTTTTACTAAGCAAGTTTTTTTTGTTTTTTTTTTTAAACAGACTTTATGGTTATTACAGACTTCTGGCTACAATGAGATGGAGCAGTGGTAGTTTCCACTGCTCCAACTCCCCTGAATCTCCATTGTGTTCTGTCTGCAGAAGGACATGGTATTCTTCCCAATATGCACTAGATGCTGGTTTTTTGAGCTAATTGTTAATGAAACGCAAGGTGCAGAAACAGATAATTGCGAAACAGATTTTCTGGGCAAGCGGACAATTCTAACATGGAACACAGCCACTTCAGCAGATCTTTGAAGCAACGTGACTTGGTGCTGAAGTTTTCAAGAGTGATTTTGAAAATGGGGCTTAATCTACACAGGGTAAGATTTACAAAACATTAATAGGTGTCTTTGCATGTGCTCTGGAGGCTGAGGGGGAAGGGGTGCTTTAATCAGAGTGGCTCCAAGAGCTGCTCCAATTAAAGTGCCCACAGCATCTTGTGTATTCAGCATCCTGCTCTTCAAAATGGCAGTGGAGGTGCTTTAAGTAAAGCTTGTTGAACAAACTTTAGTTAAAGTGCCCCCACCACCATTTTGAAGCATGGGGATGCTGAATTCATAAGACACAGAGGCTGCAGGAGCACACTAAATATCACGCTGCAGCAGACTTAATTAATTGAGTCTGCTCTGACATGCTGTAATTACAAGGCATCAGAGCAGCCTCCCTGCACAGGTACAGGCACCCTACGAGCTTATCTATCATATAACCCTAGCATTTAAAAGTGAGGAAATTGATTGTTAAGTCAGTCAGAGATCTTACATTGTTCAAATGCTCACATAATAGAATGAAACGTCTTTCACAGAACTACTAGCCAATTGCCTGTCAGGAATGACGGGGGTGGAGCATGTAGGGAGGGAGCCCCGTGCCCCACCGCCTGGACCCACCTGCCTTTACCTCCTGCTGCATGGGGTCCAGGCCCACTCCCCCCCGCAGCGGTGGCGGGAGGGGAGAAGTGCGCCCAGGCCTGATGCGGGGTAGGACCGGCCTGAGGGTGGGCAGAAGCCAGCCCGCCTCTGCGAGGAGAGCAGCAGGCCCAGGCTAACCCGGCAGTGGCAGGAGAATGGGAGGAGTGGGCTCAGAGCTGTGGGGGAGGATTGGGCCGGGGCCCAAGAGGCGGGGAGGAGGCCTGAGCCTGAGCCAGGGGAGAAGGTGTCCCGCCGCGGCGGTGGAGGGGAGCAGCAGGCCCAGCCTAATGCAGCAGCAGCTGGGGGAGGGGAGGAGCGAGCCTCTTCCCCCTCTCCTCCCCCCCCCCGCAAGGCCTGGGCCCACTCCTCCCCCACACCCCTCCTCCCCTGTCGGCTCCAAGCCCGCTCCTCCCGCTTCTCTGCCGCCACTGGGTTAGCCTGGGCCCGCTGCTCCCCCTCTGCCCACGTGGGGCCCGGGCCCACTCCTCCCCTCCCCCCACCACCGCTGCGCACCCACTATTCCCCCCCACCCATGTTGGGCCTGCTCCTTCCCCCACCGCCGCCACATCATCCTGCACCAAGCCCTGCAGGTGGCGACAACAAAAGGGGGGAGGGGTGGACTGAGGCCAGAGCTGTGGCCTTGCCCGCCCCCCTGCAGCATCCTGCCCTCCCCACGCCAGTGCCACTACCACCTCCGCTCTGTCACTGCCCACTGTTCTGTCCGCTCCGTTGCCCCTGCCTCTAGGGACCTGTTGCCGCCCGTTGTCCCGTGTCCCCACCATCATGGCGGTGCTCCACCAGCCACCAGCTCACTCCTGTTCAAACGTTTGTTCACACTCTGATTAGCTGTTTGTCAGCCAATCAGAGCGTGTATAAAGCATTACAGACAGACAGACAGACTTAGGCTTTTATAATATTAGAATAGAAATTAGGGTTGGAAAGGACCTCAGGAGGTCATCTAGTCCAACCCCCTACTCAAGGCAGGACCATCGCCAACCAGGTCATCCCAGCAAAGCATTGTCTAGCTGGGTTTTGAAAACCTCCAAGGAAGGAGCTTCTACCACCTCTCTGGGTAACCTGTCCCAGTGTTTTACTACTCTCCTAGCAAGAAGATTCTTCCTAATACCTAATCTAAACTTACCTTGCTGCAACTTGAAACCATTGCTCCTTGTTCTGTCATCTGCCACCATTGAGAACAGTCTAGCCCCATTGTCTTTCAAACCCTGCTTCAGGTAGTTGAAG